AAATGACAATATAAACAACTATTAATAAAAACAACGTACATCTAAATCATGTAATAAAGGGGAAAAATGGTAGCCCAGTATAATTCCTCACTTGCAATTAACAAAATTCCACCAATTTCCATTCCTGGGAAGATAGCCAGATCTTTCTGGAAGGCCAGCAAAGTCAGAGTCTCCTGTGTTATAGTATTTCAAAGTACAGATGCCACGACAGAAAGGGAAACACCCCGCATCCTATTAGATTGCATTCTTTAATGGACAGGACCCAGAGCATGCCCGTTGCTGGATCTAATGAGGTGGGAAGAAACCGTCAAAGAGATATGGTCCCTCCAGTATTTTAGTTCCATGTCATTCAGGGTTCAACCAGTACGTTGAATGCATGTGGAGATCTAGTGGGAGACCATGTAACTCACAAAGCTAGGACATAACATGGATGAAGTAAGGCACATGCATAATAGCCTGCACCACTGTTTTCTGGATCATTAGTAGTTTTTGGATAATATTTAAGGCAGCCCCATGGAGAACACATTGCAATAATCTATTTGGGCAGTAACTAAAACATGAAGGACCGTGCAAAGAACTGGTCCAGGGAACTAAAATTCTCATCCAACATGGTTGCGCAAAAGCCTCCCCAGCTATGGCAATCATATACTTCTCTAACAAAAGCTATGACACCAGGAGGATTCCCAGAATCTATTGGCAAACCCACCCAAAGCTAGTATGGAAAATCACCAGGTCCAAGAATCATTAAAGTTACTTAATCTTCTCTGAGCTGAATTGAAGTTAGATCTTCCCTATACACACATTTTCACATCTCCCGGACATAAGGATAAAAGTTCTCCAATATTACTTGGTTGGCCTGGAATAGAAATGCACAGGTGAACATCAGCATGCCCCATGCTACTGAATTACCTCACCCAGAAGGTTTATGTAGATGTTAAATTGGAAAAGGGAGATTATAAAGCCCTGAAGCATCCTACAAAGCAGGAGGCTTTTAGAGTGGAAAACCATATCTAAATCCACTATATTTGCTATAACCTCCCACAAACTAAGAGTTGATATAATAGATCAATAGGTACCAATCACTTCTTAATTGCATTAACAATAAACAGTGGCTTTCAAGCTTTCTTTAAAAGCAAGATATTAGCTAGTTCTAACACTTCTAATTCACCAAAAGAGACGCTGGTTGTAATAATATGAAGGATAGTGTTCTGCATTTTCATTACGCACTCAGTAATGGGAATTTGAAATGGGTAAAATATCTTTTTATTTATTTATTTATTTTGTCAAACAATTATTAGATAACAGGTATAAGTATAAACAAGGTTATAAATACATGAAATGGATACAAATAAGAAAAAAAAGAAACAGTAGGCACGTTTTGGTGCGCTTATGCACGCCCCCTACAGACCTCTTAAGAAAGTGGTAAGGTCAATAGTAGACAGTCTAATGTTGAAGATTTTGGGGTTTGGGGAACATTTACAAGAGATATTTATTACAAAAATCTAGCTCATTATCTTACTTAAGTACTTGTTCTTCTAGTCCTATGACATAGAACAATATGAAAATAACATTTAGGTGCCTTCACTGCTATCATTCATATAATTGTTAGAATAGATAGCTTGACCAAGAACAATCTTGGTTAATCTATTCGGTCTATTATTCTTCTGAAGAAGGATACCACTATTTTGATCTTTGTGAAAGCCAGGAAAATGTGTATACCAAACAATATATACCATGAGTGATACCATGAAATTAGACAAAAATCAAAGTCTGTTCCAGTCTTCGACGGAGAACATTTATCAAAAAAGAAGGTATACATCTGGAATTTATTGTGTTTTTTTTAAATGAAACTAAAATCAAGTTTGTTAGAAGTAAAAGAAAGAAATATAAAGTTGGTTTATTTGATCAAGATTCAGAGTTGTTTTCTCTGGTAACTCCTAATGGACTTTCCAGCAGGGCAAAATCCAGTCTTTACAAAGGAAGATTTTTAAGGTGGGATGGGTGAGGACTGACAAACTGATCAATCAGGAATCTGAGAAGACCATATCACATAATTCCTGGATGATTTGAATTTAATAAAACGTCATGAAGAGTGGATTAAATATGGAGAAATCTATATTCTGAGTCATGCCTGGGAAAGTTTCCTGGTCATGGATATGTAAAAGGACAGAGAGACTAATTTTACTTCAAATATTTATTGTATATATAGATGTCATTTATAATAGTAACTGAAGATATAAAACATGAGCACGCAGAGGCTAATGACAAGTTACATAATTATTTTAGAAGTTGGAATACAAATACTGTGTTTCTCACATAATAAGGCTGGGCCTTATTTTTTTTTTGAGCCCCGAAAAAATGGCTAGGCCGTCTTTTCGGGGGTGACTTAATTCCTCCCCTTGCATCCTCGCCAACAGCCGCTCCTAACGGGTGATCATGGCGAAGCACAGAGAGCTCCCTATTCCCACCTTTGCTGCAGACACCTTTGGCACCCGCTGCTGTTGCTTTCCCTTCTGCCCATTCCGCCACCACGTTTGGAGCTGCCGCTTCTGTGTTTGGAGTGCCGCCATTTGGAGCTCCAAACGCGGAAGTGGCAGCTCCAAACATGACGGCGGGTGATCTTTTTATTTTGGTCCGCGCGAAGTTCAGAGCGAGCAAGAGAGGGAGACTGCGATGCCTCCATCCGAGATGGCAACCTCACTAGTGGATCACAACGTGACTGGAAGCCCGAAACGGCGGGATACGATGGCAATCTTTTTGGAGCGAGAGGAAAGGGAGAGAAGAGTTGCGAGGCGTAATTTGCAGGAGGAAGTGGGTGTACCCCACGGCAGGGAGCCTAAGGAAGAAGGGCCGGTAGGCAACGGAGAGTGTCCCGTAGCTCCGGAAGCAGCCTAGAGACGCACCCGGGAAGAGACGCAGATGCTGCCTTGTAGTCCCCAAACCAACTGCGTGCGCCGCCTTTAGTTATGTGCGCTCCGCTCTTTGGGCATCTCCGTGTGATCGTGACCCTGTCCTTTCCACCTGGCGCCCTTGCTGCTTTCTGGCTCTTTAGCGACCGGCTTCGCGTTTGGAACACGTTCGCGTTTGGAGTTGGTTTGGGGACTACAAGGCAGCATCTGCGCCTCTTCCCGGGCGCGTCTCTAGGCTGCTTCTGGAGCTACGGGACGCTCTCCGTTGCCTACTGGCCCTTCTTCCTTGGGCTCCCTGCCGTGGGGTACACCCACTTCCTCCTGCAAATTACGCCTCGCAACTCTTCTCTCCCTTTCCTCTCGCTCCAAAAAGATTGCCATCGTATCCCGCTGATTCGGGCTTCCAGCCACGTTGTGATCCACTAGTGAGGTTGCCATCTCGGATGGAGGCATCGCAGTCTCTCACTCTGAACTTCGCGCGGACCAAAATAAAAAGATCGCCCGCCGTCATGTTTGGAGCTGCCACTTCCGCGTTTGGAAGCTCCAAATGGCGGCGGCACTCCAAACACAGAAGCGGCAGCTCCAAACGTGGCGGCGGGATGGGCAGAAGGGAAAGCAACAGCGGCGGGTGCCAAAGGTGTCTGCAGCAAAGGTGTTTGGTGGGAGTAGGGAGCTCTCCGCGCTTCGCCATGATCGCCTGTTAGGAGCGGCTGGTGGCGAGGAATTCCTGCCCGCTGGGCGCTCCTAACGGCAAGTCTCCCCGCCCTTCCCCCTTATTTTGCATATTTTAAAATAGGCCTAAATTTGGGGGGAGGGGCTTAATTTGATTTTATGCCCAAAAAACATGCTGGGCCTTCCTATTGGTGGAGGCCGTATTGTTGGAGAAACACGGTACATAATTGCTAAATTTGATGATATCACTCTGCACTCTTTGCTTTGACATCATTGCCTTTTGCATCACCGCTAAAATCTTTTGTCATATATTTATCAACTGCTACTGTGTCATCTTGATCCCATTACATCTATCTCGTAGTGTATTCTGCTGCCAGCACAATTACTCATATCTCTTATGGCTTTCATCATGTAACATGTCATAATACCCTCCACTATCTTCCTGTCTATTCCAAGCTTTCTTTTCAAAGCTCCTCAAACCTTTATATCTAATTCCTTCTTGACCCTTATACCATTCTGTATCCCAATTTCAGTTTTGTTCCTGCAGTTCCATCACCCTAAATAATCCAAAGGTCTCTTCTCTCTCAAATGAGTCAGTCCTTTCCCTTTTGTGCTCAGCACAGCTATCTAAACATGTTAGTGATCTGACATCAAAGTGACTTTCACATAATCCACTGTTAACTGTAGTTAAACTGCTAACATGAATGCTCCTATTTCTTTTTTTCCCTATTGTTTCTCCTGTCAAATTAGAAATTCTTTGTAATCTCTATAATCTTATACAGTACCAACATCAGATTATAGAACTTGTGAAGATCCAGCCCTTTCCAGATGTTTTGGATTACAGCCTGCATCATTGCCCACTAGCTCGACTGGTGGCATGGCATCATTTGAACTCATGGCTAGATAGATGTTTGTAGTCCAGTGCATTCAGCAGGGTTCCACATAATGTAAGATCCGCATGGATGTATATTGAGACAATAAAATACAGTAACTCAATATATCTGAGTTAAATATAATAAAAAAATTAAGACAACTGCAACCACAATTTATACACTGAATAATGTCAGTTTAGAGTATTAATGTAGTGATAATAATAGCACTCAACACTCAGTTATGGAGAAACAGAAGATGGTTAATTTGGAAATGTCTGCCTCAGAAAAGGGAAAATTTGCACACTCCCAGCACGAGCATCCTTCCTTCCCTTTCGCTCCGCGCGTTGTTTATCACAGAGAATCCGGGAGCACGTGGCCTAACCGCGGAGCGCCAATGCAGCCGCCTGGCTTGAGGGTTGGCGGGTTGATTGGCGGGAGAGAGCGAGAGCGAGAGAGAGAGAGAGAGAGGATTCCTTATTTGTCACTAGGCAGCAATTTAGCCATTCCCTGGCAGGCGCGCGCCCGAGGTTGCCTGGAGACCGAGGCGCGCGGGAAAGAGAGGCGGTGGAGGGTGGGGGGGTGTTACGTAGTGACGTTAATTCTATATGAGCGCGAGCGGCGGGAGCTTGGGTCTTTTTACCGCCGGCTGCGAGACGCTTCTTCCTCAATCCTGAGTCACTGCGAGACCCGGCCTCGCGCAGGTAACCGAGACGCGTGTCTTCGAGGGTGGGATCGTGAAGATCACAGCCGGACCACCCGCCGGCTAGATATCGATCTCGGCCCACCAGTTGCAGGGTTCCTCGCGTCCAGTCGGCACAGAGGAAGGGGGAGAAAGCGGGCTGAGGCGGTGCCCTTCTTGGCCGTTGGTCTTCTTGTGGGGATTGTGCCTCACTTCTCAGCGGTGGTGGTTGCTCGAGTGGGAGACTAGTCGCGCGCGCAAGGCCATGTTTCTAATTCCGCCCTCATCACTTTCGCCTTAGGGTGAGGCCTTTGGCCGGGCGGCTCGATCTGGCTTGGCTTGGCCGGGCCTAGTCTGGCCGGCTGAAGCACTAGCAAACACGTGGAAAACAGGCAGGTCTGGGCCGCCTCCGGCGCCTTTCCCCCTGGAGTCGGTGACCTGTAAGTGGCGCTGCGTGGATTAAAACCTCTTACCAGGGCTGAGACGTTAATAGGATTTTGCCGCGAAGAAGGGGTAGGGAAAAGGGGATCGAAATAGGCAGTCGGTTTTAATAGTGGGTCCCCGGGAGAGGCTAGGTGTGGGCTTTTGGGGAGGGTGCGCGTTGCGGCGGGGAGTCTATCACTCCTGTTCCCTGAGGAAACAATCGGTTTAGAGATAACTTTACGCTGTTTTATAAACCCCCCCCCCCGCGATTTAAAAGCAGTTCCCATACGTACTAAAAAGTCCTTTTTTCACTTTCCCTCTTTTTGCACAGAGAGAGTGTTGTATTTGTAGATCAATTTTGTTGACTCAGTTGGTTGTTTTAATAGCTATTCTAAATGTACTTTATAACTTTTGAGATAGTGCCAGGACTATGGTTTTAGACAGCATCACATTAACTGTTAGGGTGGCTGCACTTTAATCTACAGAACAGGCTTTATGATAGACCATATGGTTTTAAGGACAGGACACTATAAAAGCAAGATTAAAGTGTCTTGAAATACTATTCCTTGCTTCATTGTTTTTCAGTAGATAGCTGGTTGCATTTGATTAGAAGGGTGGGACATACAGTAGCGCACTACCACTATTTTCTTTTTGATGTGGCAACAAAAAGGAGATGTGTAAAATGAGAGATACCATTTCAGTAGAAGATTAAAAGATAAGTCTGTTTCAGAAATTGGGTAATGGTGGGTTTTGAATATAAATTAGTAAGGGACCTAAGATTATAAAATATAAGAAAGGTATCCAAAGAATGCATATACACAAGACTTGTGCTTTTTTTAATGTACGATTTAATGTCTAAAAAGGGTGCAAATGACAGTTGGCATGACCTTAAATTCTGGATTTTTTGTATTCTCTGATGTGGCAAGTGAATTTGTCTTTTAAAAAATTGGCTTGAAATTTTTCATGACTTTCCAATTCAATTATATTTTTTGTTGGCCAATGTGTTGTATAGAAACATTTTCACAAATTGATATTTTAAATAGCAAAAATAGTTTTCTTGCACATCTAGGTGTTGTCTATTAATAGTGTTAAATTTAGAGACATAAAACCCTAATTGTTACACAATCTGTAGCAATATTTATTTTAAATGGCTGGCAGCTCTTGGCAAGTTACTTTCTTTTGGTTACCCTTCTGTAAAATGGAAGTGATTAATATATCTGAAGATGCATGTCCAAAATTATAAAAATGCATTGGGTCTAGCAAAGTAATGAATACTAGGAGTTTTGGCTCAGGAGGATATTCTACCACATGTAAATATAAGCATTATTTAATCTACTTTATTAAACTGAAGCTTTTCAGATAAATTAAATAAAATAAATTTTCAGATGCATTTTTCCAGGAAAGCACAGTCAGTTGTGTTGAATCAGAAAACTGGTCCTGCACTTTACAATCTGGTCATGTGTTAGAGTTCCTTAACTGAGGTTGGTTTAGTTGTGTTTCGTAATACAGATAGATCTCATTGAACAAACACTTGTTTAGCAGTTATTCAGAGTTATAGTTTTGTATGGGGGGGGGGGGGGGGTGACTGACAGTGGATGAGTTACATTGTAATTTCTGAAGTTGGAGCATTCCTGCAATCACATGATCACAACTGAGGCATTTGGCAACTGGCTCACAATAATGACATTGCAGTGTCCCATGGTCATAAAGTTGCCATTTGCTGCCTTTACTGCCAGCTTCAGACAAAGTCATTAAGGAAGCTGGCAGGAGATTGCAAGTGGCAATCACGTAACCATGGGACACTTAGGTAGGATTCACCTAACAATGATAACTGGGATGTTGAAACTGCGAGAAATACCTTTATAAACTTGATATTACTCATGGATTGCAATTCAAATAGTAAATAAACAAATTGACCGATTCAACACCTGATGTACACAACATAATAGTATAGTATGTGCATAGGTTATGCCTATACAACATTGGCCTGTGGACTGCATGTGACCTGCCAAACAGCCTTATGTAGCCCACTGGCATTTTTTAAAATACTCAATTTGCTGCTGCCAAATGTCCCAACCACCTTTTAAAGTAACACTGCAAATCAGTTTATGTTCAGCAACATTTATATACAAATATTAATTATGGTTGAAGTAAAACCAGAGCTGAGAAAGTAGTTTTTCATGTGTTTGTATACTGCCAAGTTTCCATGTTTTCAATATTGTGTATTTATCATGCACTATTTATATTAACTGTATGGTAGCACCTAGCATAAAGGTAATTTAATAATATTTGCTTAATTGATCTGTATTGCCCTAATGATCAGCAAAACAACTGGAATACCCATGTGGTAATTAATGTAGACATTACTCTCTGGGATCATGAATTGCTGTTTAAAAACATCCAGTTATGTTTCAAACATGGATAGGAAATTAGAACCTAATCCTTTCTTGTGGAGTATTAAATAGAGCTACTATCTGGAATGTCTATTGTTCATAGACCTCCTTTCCCAATATTATTGTGATACAGATGTTGAAATGGGCTTTGCTACATTATACAGATAATATTTGGATTCTGTGACAGTGATGAATATAAGAATTTTGTTGAATAATACTAGTCCACTGTAAATTCAGTATTCTGTTCCATTATTAGACAGATGTTTTTTCAGGAAAAAAGCACCTTTGATACCCCCTTTCTGTTTTTTTCCTCTTAATAACTGATGTTATGGAATAGATAATCATACTTTTTCCAACTCTAGCACCCTATTTCAAGGCCTGTGAGCCATTATTGCACACAGTATTATCCCAAGCATTGTAGTACTCATAGATATATGCCAGTGTAGCAATATTGACATTTTTATTTTTGATTGCTTTCTTAAGAATTCCTAATAGGGATTTCCTTCTCAGTAGCTGCAAATTAGGTTAATGTATCATTTTTTTCTATTTTTGGGATCTGTCCTGTTCTGGTGCACTTTTCTCAATCACCTTTAGTTTAGATTTCATAGTATAAGTAAGTACTATAGGAGGATAGGATCTTTTCCTCAGTATTATGACTTTCCAAAATTTTCATGAGATTTGCAGAATTGAGTCCTTACAAAAAAGTTAAATTGCATGGAAATGTTTTCTTAAAAATAAATTTGCTGAAAGGGGAATCTTGCCTCACTGAAGTTCTGGTTCTCATAATATTGTACATCATGTTCAAAATGTGTTGGAAAATGGAACAATCAAATTTTCAATTCTAACTATGGACAGAGTTGCTACAGTCTCTTTGTATTTATGCAGTGCTCCTCTATTTAAACTCTAAAGATTCATTTTAGCACTGTTTCACAACCTAGGCAACTTTTGAGATGCTTGGATTTCAACTCCTAAAGCTGCACGGATTGGGCAGATATTTCCCATTTACAGACTACAAGTAATTTTTAAGATATGATCATGATAAATAAGCTTCATTATGGTCATAATTCATGATGGTCATAAAATGTATCCACCATGTGACTGACCCTAATTTACAGCCTTTTGTTATGGCAGTCATTAAGCAAATCACTATAGTTGTTAATATTGTGTTCATTAAATAAATGTAAGGATGTGGTTTTGCCGAAAACTAGAAGTAAATACCAGTTTTTGGCAAAGCCATCAAAAAACATAGTTATGTGTCCAAATGCCCGAAGTGCAATCATGTGACCCTGGGAGGCACTGTGGAAACTTTGAATCTGGGTTGTAAGTATCTCCCAGGTAGGCCTGCTGGAATTTTGAATGGTTGCTAAGCAATTGGTCATAAATCGAGGACTAATTGTACCATAATCTTTTTAACAACTTAAGCAAAACATTTAGAAATTGGATCACTGGGATTGGTTGAGAATAATATGATTTTTGTGGAATATTTTTCTAGAGAAAGGAGTATAGGTAGTCCTTGACTTATGACTACCATTGACCCCAAAATTTCTGTTGTTAAGTGAGACATTTGTGATATTTCTTATCATAATTAAGTGAATAACTGCAGTAGTTAAGTTAGTAACCTGATTGTTAAATGAATCTGGCTTCCCAATTGACTTTGCTTGCAGAAGATTGCATGACCCTGGGACACAGCAACCATCATTAATATGAACCATTGCTTTCAAAGGACTTTTGATATTTCAATCAGTCTCTTTTCTCTCTTCTCTTCCCTTTTTATCTTAAGAATGCTAGGGGAAAAGATACAAGATGTCAGTAAACAGGTAGTTACTACATAGACAGTACAGATTGGATAATATCCATGATGTATTCATGAATCTGCTGACAACTTTTTAGACCTTAATACAGAGTTCAAGATTGACCTTTATGTTACTTTAAATATCCAGATAAAGCCTGATGATGTAGACAAAAAGTCCTTGAGTTTAAGGTCTGATATTGTTACCGTGTACTGTTGCTTAGTCTGGCAAGACTTTGTGGTTCTAGTTTCTTAAATTAAGGTCTCTTGACTCTCTTTGCTATTCTTTCTAGTGGAGAATTCAATGAAAGATTAAATGGCTTCCTCTGCAATGCAGAAAGATAAGAGTGGATAGGATGCATAAACTGAACTAAAGCAGCAGGTTTTTTTTTTTTTGCCATAATCATCCTCTGTGAA